CTGTACCGGCTCGTCCCCCACATCAGCAACTACCACTGCTGGAGAGCCGATTGTGACAAATTCGCCAACCGTCACCACCGAAACTCAGATAAGTCAGGCAACTAGCCTCTCGCCCGTGCCTATCACCGAGAGTTCCACAACCACATCTGCCCAGAGCACTACGGCTCCCTCGTCCACTCCTACGCCTACGTCCTCGCCAACCAGCGGTCCTTCTTCGGTACCTGGGACTACTGCCTCCGCCACCAGCACTTCCGTCTCAACGGCATCCTCTAGTACCCCTGAGAGCTCGTCCGCACCTGCGACTCCCTCCACGTCCGAGTCTTCGTCGTCGGCCGCATCCACCGCGCCATCGGCCACGCTTTCAACCGCAACGACCGGGACAGCTTCGGCATCTGAGAGCGTATCGTCTGCAGAGTCTACCGCAGAGTCCACCGAGGCAAGCGCAGCCTCCACTGCAACTGCCAGCGCAACTGCTTCCGGGAGTGCGTCGGCAACTAGCTCGACTTCAGCTTCCACGGCCTCTTCTGTGTCATCTGCCGCAGAGTCTACTGGATCCGCGACAACCGGAGCTGGTTCCAGCCCGTCAGCATCAAGCCCCTCGGAGTCGAGTACTGCTGCTCCTTCCGAAACCAGTGGAGCTGCATCATCTGCCCCTAGTGCCTCATCTACCGTCACCGAGCCGAGCTCCACTTCAGCCGGCCCGCCTGCGGTCACGGCTGCCGCCGCAAAGCCCGTAACCTCTACCTTCTTCGCCATCTTGGCGTCGGTCGTGGCTCTCCTACTTATCTAATCTTTCCACCCACTCCTTCTGATCACATACTTTGATTCAACTTCTTTAAGAATTCATACATTCAGGTGGGAAAAGTTATTTTGCTTCATCATTCACGACACTCCCTCTCGGCCCCCGAGCCGATCATCATTATGGCGTTTTCACGAGAAAAACAACGGCGAGATATGATACAACGACAAATTTCACGACACTCCTTAAAAGAATAATGAATAATTAAGCATGTTTTATGGGCGGGTAAACACATTGAAGGGTTTCTTGCATATTTAATGGACGGTTTGAATGGCTATGATACCCCCCGGACACTCCTTACGACGCACATGGCCCACAAGTCCGGCAAGACTTTCGGGAAGTTTTTGGAACATATACTAAGGCATACGATTTCTTCCTGGGATGGAAATACTGAGTTTAAGATTGCAAATGTTAGAAAATCCTGGTTTCTTGGGATGGGGGTGGTAATGGGAAACATTGGTACTGGTTGGGGCAAGGTGGCCTCTGTGCCTGGTGGTTGTATGTGAGAGCAAGATATCCATTGCATTAATGATTTTTTGATTCCCCAATTCTGTCGCAAAGCTTGTTGATGTTTCGATGCTTGACTTTTGACTCATTCCTATCGTGATATCTGTCCTCTATTCCGGGCTTCCATGTGGATTTGGGATGCCTGGCCCCGCGCCCGTGCTGCGGCACGCCAATGATCGAGCGATGAGATGACTCCAACTAATCCTTCGCCCGAGCTTATAGGACCTACCGCAAAATTGAACACGTTTTCTTCGTTGAACAGTGTCTATTCGACGTTTTTTGGGCTGAAGCCACAATTCGACTGGACACGTCCGACGACGCAAATATGCTTAAATACACTTCCACGTTTCGTCAAGATGGCATTCAACTCACCCGGTCTCAATAACATCGGCAACCTCCTTTAACTGCCAAGATATCACAATGAAAACCAAATCAACCCTCTTCCTCATCCTATCCTGCGCCCTCCTCTTCCAAGGCCTCGCAGCAGCATGGCAAACACCCCTCCTCCCCTGGCGCAAAGCCGACACCACGCCCAAAGCAAAGATCCCGCAGTTCATCCTCGACACCCGACACCCGTGGCTCACCACACACGCCGACGAGCTCTCCAAACTCGAAGACCCGAAATCCGTCTTCTGCACCCCTCTCAAACACGTCATAGCCTCGAGCAACCACGACCCAGAATGCGGCCATGATTGGCAGCTCAACGGGCTCGATATACCCAGCGACCTCTTCCACCGGCTTGAGATCGACAACAACCGCGTCGGGATCGATCGCTACGGCTGGGCCTACGCGCGCAGCCGCCTTCTTGAGATGAAGGGATGCTCGAGGGCGTTGGAGGAGGTGCGGGAGCTGAAGGTGGACATCTTTGCGCACCGCGGAGAGCCGGTGCTACCGCCTGATGAGTTGCCGGGGCTGTTTGCGGAGGTTATGAGCGGGATGGAGGGGTTGAGGAGGCTAGACTGGACGATTCGGGGGTGGGATGAGAACGCGGCTTTTCGGGAGGAGTTTTACAGGCAGGGGGTGGAGATGAGGTCTGTCGAGGAGTTGAAGGCGAATATGTACGCCTCGTGGATCCGGGAATCGACGCCGAGGTTGAGGATGTTGGAGGTTGAGAGGGATGACTGGTATGATTCGAAACCGGACGACTGGAGAGAGTTTCCGCTTGTGTGGTTGGAGAGCTTGGGTAGGATGCAGGAGCTGAAGAGTCTGAACCTGGGAGGTATTTGGTGGGATAAACAGGTTGAGATGACAGAACGTGAGTTGCCTGGGAGCCCGCAGCGAGGTTGAGATTCAAGTTCGCAAATGACACTGACAAATCTTCAGTCATTCCGAAAGTCCTGCCAAATCTCGAGAAGCTCTGGGTTGGTCACTTGACCCATGGGCATATTGCTCCCCCAGGGGAGGCACTTCAGGTAAGCACACAATCTCCCCCTTAATCATCCCACCATAGGGCTAACGCTTTTCCAAACAGAACATGACAAGAACCTTCGCATCCCTTTCCAAACTCAAGAAACTTCATCTTCCGCATTCGGCCGACTTGTACCTTGACTTCGACGGGGGCCCGTGGTGTGGCAACGCGTACGACGGAGAAGACGGTCAACGGCTCTGGCGCCAGGTTCGGTTGGATGACATTGAGGCGACGGAGCGTGCGGGTGTTATCGTACAGCAGGAGATGCCGAGACTGAAAGGATTGAACGTGGGTGACTTCTATGGGAACTTCACCGTCGACGCCGAGGGAGGGCGGGCGATTGATTGGCCTTGGACTGGGAGGCTGGAAGACTGGCTTCGGGAGACAGACTTTTGATCACCGAAATTTGAATTTCCTGAAGAGGACGGGCTCTAGCTTAAGATGTTTGCCACTAGAAATCGCGTGATATGCGCATAATCTATCGTCTTTTGCGTCCTCATCCTCGTCCTTGTCCTCTTCCTTGTCCTCTTCCTTGTCCTCGTCCTTTTCACCAGCCAAGTACTCTGGCAACTTCCGCCAGTCCCGTCTTCAGTCGCAAGGGGATGAAGAATTCGAAATCTCCGTCTCGACTATCAACTGCGCCGTCTGATTGCTCCCCTGATAGGTGGAAATGATGCGGGACCAAGTTGTTGTCGAAAGCACCCAACAAGTCGGATTTCCACTGCTGACCCCAGAATTGATGATCATGCCCACTTGAAGGATTGCTTGGCGCCCAGCCCGCTGATGAGCCTATCGGACTTTCGCGAAAGGCACTACATCGGAACATGGCCAAAAGATGGTCCGACTTATGCAGAACATCGAGCATCCATAGATCTATCCGCTCCATTGTAGTTGTCCACTTCTTCAGTCTGACGAAGATGGCAGAAACTTTGAGCGTATGGTCCAGAGAGTACCAGTTCCAAGTACTCCGCGGGTACATGCTCCCCAAAGCCTCCTCTTGATGTCTCTTACACAAGCCGTGCGTGCTCGCTTCGTTTGAACACTGGTGGCAAGTCTGAGAGTATCTTTTCAGTTCCAGGCCTGGCCTCACGGGCCAAAAGAAATGGTGAAGCGAGGATCTCAACGCAGCCTTGGTCTCGGGGCTGCGCATTGCGTGGAGTTGGCTTGGAGATGACGCTTTCAGCAGGCAATTGGGCACTGTGGCCCACCGTCTGGGCAAGGGGCGATTGCATTGGATTATTAACTCTTGCTCGAGATTGGCGGCTTCGTACAAGATGCTCGGCAGCCTCTGTGAGGAGACATGAGGCGAGAAAACGTCTTTAGCCAGTGCTTCCATGGCTCGATTTATGCCCTTTGTCCCAGCCACAGGTCTTGAAGTATGGTCCTTTTCTGACCCAGAGCGGTTATCGTCTAGATATGGTGTTTCGGACAGTAGTGTTCTCAGTTGGGAATTGAGCAAGACGTGTGTCGTTGGAATGTCTGCGTTCTCTGGCTTTCCAGCCAAAAGCGCATGTCGACTATCGACCGAGGTGGGTACATTCGCAGCAAAAAGCGACAGGTCGAAGCTTTCGCAATCGAGGGCTCCCCTTGAGGCAGAATGCTCAATATCTAAGTGGTCTTTCAGCTCTTCGACGGTTGTATACAGCACGCTTTGATCACATCCAGAAAAGTTGTGGCGGTCCATGAGGTGCCGCGCCCAGGACAGAAAGTCGTTCTTGTGGAAAGGCTTGTCGCAGAATAGACAACGGACCGAGAAGTTTTTATGTACACGGGCAAAAGCTTGGTCGATTCCTATTATTGCTCCACATGACCAGTGACCCTGGGGCGATGCGCGCGGGAATCCGAAGTGTGGTATAGCGTCATTGTGCTCCCTTTCGACATAGGAGAAGCGTCGCTTTCTCTTCCCGCCTCCTAGCGGTGATGAAAACTGGTTTTCACTGTGCTCAGAACCGCTGACGCTCCGTCGTAATGGCGATGATCCGACGAGCCGCTGAAGAGAGCTGGCGACACTGGCGATACTCGAGAGATTGTCGCTCATTCGAGATATGTGATTCAACGTCTCTTCTTGGATCATGATGGCCTGGTTCCTTTGGTCTTCCGATGATGCGGATATGTGATCCATCAATTCATGATGTCTGGCGTTTGAGTCGGCAATCACGTTCTTGGTAAAATGCTGAGTTGCGGCATTGAACTTCAAGTTGGACTCGGTAAGACTCTGGACATCGATTTGAACCCGGTCTAACTTCTCCAGACCAAGATGAGAAATTGACCTGTCGTTCATAAGCCCTAGATCCTCACGTCAAGCATAAACAAGAACACCCACATGTTCAGAGCGCCAATGCTCAGACTGATCTGGGCCCTGTGGGACACAAGCTTTGACTCCAGGGCTCGAACGGCGCGAACGCGGCGATTCTGCAAGACCTCGCTTACTTTCTGACGTTTCGAAGAAGGCCCCGAAGGTGGCTTGTGATTATCTACCCAGTCGTCGAGATCCTGGCCGCATCGCTCGAGCTGAGTGTGAAGGGTGACAACATGCGAAGCCCATGGTGTGCCATCGCTGATGCTATTGCTGTCTTTCACGCTCTGTAGAATCGACCTCAACCCTGTAATCGTCGAGATCATAAGTTCCGTCTCTCTTGTCGCATTCTCTGTCCGAATATCGGACTCTCTCTGGTCCTGGATGTACTCGTTCAACTTAAGTAGCCCATTGAGAAGTTGGCCCGCGAAGGAAAGCAACCCGACAATGCCAGCAGCCGCCTCCATGGTGCTTATCGACTTGTTGAAGCATGTGGTGATTAAAGATTCAATGCCTTCAGAAGATGTATCCCGCTTGTAGGGTACCAAGGCGTGCGCCTCTTTGAGGCAGTGTCGGGAAGAGGTCGGCGTGAAGGCTATCGAGTCGTTTCGTCTCGCAGCAGCGACCCCCGCACATCTCTCTCCAACCAAGCCAATTGAGTCCAGCTACCACACCGCGAGGAAGTGTACCTATTTGCCCTGCATTAGTTACCGCAGCTGTTCAACGCCATTGGTCATTATGCACTCAGTGTGGGACCACGGCGGCCTCCCAATGTTGGTTCGGAAGATGAGTGCAAAATGCAGTTTGACTGGACTTCTTCTTTGAAGAAGTCTTATTTGAAGAAGTCTTATTTGAAGAAGGGACGAGGCTGACGGACACAAGAGCAAGAAGCGCCGGCATAAAAATCCTGCTCTCGTCATTATCGTCGTACGGAGCGGGATCAGTTAAGTTCGGAGCAACTTAAGGCTTCAGCCAAGCTTTTTGTATAGTCACGGCGTGTCTTCGAAGGACGCATTTCAAGTATTTCAAATAACTCGCATTTCTCCTCGCAAAGTATCTTTGCAAAGGCCAGTAAGGAGTAGGTATCATTCCAGAAGCAAAAACCCCCATATGCGCAGAGGGCGAGACAAGATGTTTTATCCCATAATCTCAAAAGCCTCCCACGCTGATTCCTCATTCGCCCCCTCATAACATGAAAAACGCCTCGCCTTGATTTTTTGATCGATTGCCCATGTCCTGCACACTCAAATCTCTCTTCCTTCGTCTTTCTCGAGTCTATTCCTTGAGATGACACAAGACCAAATTAGCAAAAAAGAAGACATGCCTCGACCACTTCCAAAGTCTTTTCCCTTCTTAATGCAGACTCCTTGGACTGATTATGCCATGTATGTTGTTTCGTGTGTGCAAAGATGTCGATGATGTACATGTACACGGAGGGTGCTTCCCTCCTTGGTTTGTTCTATAATTGCAGTAGTTTTGGCCGCGATTGAAAAACACCGTCGAAAGCGACTGCTGTGTCACGACTTTTACGCGAAATCCATGTCGTCGAAGTCAGCCTCGGCATCTTCCTCAGCTTCAACCGGATTCTTGCGGGGACGTCCACGTCCACGTGGGCGTGAAGTAGAGCGCTGGCGCTTCTTGGGTCGTCCAACCGCGTTGCCAGCCTTGCGCTTCCGGCCTCTGCCGTCAGCAGCGGGCCCGTCGTCTTCGGCGTCACTAGCGCTGCCGTCGCCCTCGCCATCAAGCTCATCCTCATCTGCAACCTTAAACTCCTTGTCGACGTTCATTAGCTCGACAAAGGCCTTGCACTTTTCAATGGCCAGTGTCTGCTCTTGAGACGCCAAAGCGGTTGTGTGCGCCGTGACCTCCTCCCAGAACTTGTCACCAGTGACAGCTTGCACCTTAGTTGGTGCTTTGCTTAGGTCCTTTGCAGTAGGCTTGGCTTTCGTCTCGCGCTTGAGGCCGTAGAGACGTCGGAGGTAGGTTCTCGCTTCCCAGAGACACAGCATAAGAACAGATCCAGACGTCAGCTGCCGCAAACGCTTCGAAGTTATCGTTGGCTGAGGTCGCTGAACGGGCTGTCCATCAGCTTGGGGCGCAGCTGGCTGGTCCAAGTCCATGCGCATGTTGAAAACTTCTGACTCAATGACGTGAGCCATGCTAGAGCCAGTCGATGAGAAGAACTTCTCCATGGTAGTAACGGTTACCAAGACTTCACCGACCGTAACATAGTCGAAGAAAGCCAGGTTCTCAATGATGAATCGCGCAAACTCGACGTGGGGCGGCAGCGGCTTGGATACGTCCAACTTCGAGGGGTCGAAATCCACTTGGCCAACAAGCTTCTCCAGGAACTTCTGACGGTTCTTGGACTTGCTCACCTTGAGCACTTCCATCAAAAGATGAAGCTTTGACTGAAAGGGGTTCTCGGTGGCGCCACGGGTATCGTGGACAATATCCCGCTGATACTCGTACGCGGACTGGATCGCTTTGGCATATTCTCGCTCAATAACCGTCTCGTGCTTCTCGTGGAGAGCTCGATGCTCCATAAAGGCGACCTCGGAAATTCTTTGGACAGATGAGGTTTCTAGGGTGATGAGGGTGACACCCGTCTCTTTGGGATGCACAAGACCCTGTCGATTAATGCTGCCCAGCACCTCCACAGCCAGGAAGGCGTGCTCGTCTTGGGATGCGAGGGCGATGCGAGTAATCTCCTTTAAGAAACGCTGAGTTGTCGCGCTAGCCACGTCGTCGAAGCTAGTTCCGCCCATGACTGTCAGCTCACGCTTTTTGTCCCCTTCCGGACCGGCAGCGGCAGCTGCACTAGCAGCTTCAGATCGCCTCTCTTCAGTCAGGAGGAACTCCTTGAAAGAACGAAGAACCGCGCTCTCCAGTGCTGGAAGCCTGGCTTCGAACACTTGCTGGAACTTGGTGTACACGTTTGGCGAGACATAGTTCCGCGGGTGCGCCTGGCAAATGAGACCAATGGCATCCAGAGCGTGCTTCCTTGCCTCCATGGGTTGTGCAGCGTCCGCCCAAGGTGAAAGGTTGTCGACCATAAGTTTCGCGACCGAAGTGCCAGAGTATTTGGGAAAGATCTTCTTGAAGACAGCGATCTCGGAGTCTAGGTCGCAATGTTTGCCGACCATTCCCACGATGATCGAGTATCTGGCAAACTTCTGGAGCTTTGTGGCGTCCATCGCCGTGTTGCGCATGCTAGCGACACCACGAAGACTGGAGGCACCCAAGTGAGCCAGCTTGTCACGGTTGTCCAGGAGTTCTGCGATGATCCACAAACAGGCGATGACATCGTCAAGCAAGGCTTTGCCCAGTCTGCCCACGGAGTTCTGAAGCTGCTCTCGTAGTTCGCGGAGGAAGTCGGCATACTTGGCGGACAATTGCGGCAACACTTGGCGATAAATGACAGTCACAGCCTTGAAGACGGTGAGATCATCGGTGCCGCTAAAACTGGCGAGATGAGGTTTGAGGAGTCGGATTTCCTCAAAAGTGAATAGCTTCGCATCGGCCTTGGCAAAAATCTGAAGTACTTGCAGCGCGTCTCTTCCTGAAGGGATCGTGGGGTCCTCCGAGTCAAGATTATCGATGAGTTCAAACATCTTCTCAACCAACTTCATGCTGACACTGAAAGGTCCTGAGCTGGCTTTGTTCTGGCCACCGAGGATAGACTGAAGTACCTTGTCCAGGACGGCGCCCACGTTACCAGATTTGACAGTCTGGATCATGAGAGCGACATGGTCTGTGAGTGATGTCTTGTACGCCGCTGTATCGTCGACCTGATAGAATGGAGCGAACCAGACTTCTTCAATCATCTGGCGAGCTAGTTCTCGTACTCCCTCATCCGGGTCTTGTACACGGTGGAGCAAGCCGTTGGCGATGGCACTACGAATTTCTCTGCTTTGGTTGCGGAGGTAGATGTCCTTTGCCAGCTTCATGGCTCTCTTGCGCACACCAATACCGGAGTCGATGAATCTCTCAATTATTCTCTCCGCCATCTTATCCTCCAATCTGGGGCGCAGTGCAATACACTTACCCATGAGGCCAATGGCAGAATCGCGCACCTGTGGGGATGAATCGCTTGAGCAGTTGATGATGAGCTGAACGACCACAGAGTCTCCGTCGAGGATAGCTGGGTCGGTTTCCAGAAGCTGATTGATACTCTTGAGACTCTTGCTTCGGACAGTGGCTTGGTCACTGGCCATGGCTTTCAGGAGCACGTTGAGCATAGCCTGGAAATGTTCGCAAAAAGGCGAACGGAGCAGAATGATGGCGTACGAGAGCTTGGCGTGGTTGTTGCTAACATCTTTGAAAGTGTACTCATTGGACAGCCATCGGCGGTCCTCGATCATCATGCGCAGGCGGAAAGCGAGGCGGCCAAATTCTTGCTCGAGGGAATCGTAAGTCTCTTGCATCGCGTCGTATCCGGAAAAGATTCTGTAAGCCCAGTCTGCAATCATGAATGAGATGGCTCCTTGCAAATGAGGATCGTCGCCTCGTCGCTGTTGAAGATGCTCTAGAGTGGCTCGGTAGGGTCCTGACCAGGAGATGTCATGCTCGATACGAGACTTCTGCTCCAAAGCCGATGTCGCCAGTTCCGACAGATATCGAGACAGCTCATTCGAGTCGGTGCCGTCGGTTGAGTTGGCTGTCCGGCGAACATGCGATCGTAGCTTGGAAATGGCAGCGCTCATCACGCCGAGCAACTCGAGAGCCATATTCTTGGCGGGTGCCGCGGTCCTTTCTCCATCCCATAACTTCATCATGTAAAATGTTAGCTGACGCAAGATGAGCTCCGCAGAAGGCCAGTCCGGCGAGTCGAGACATTCCGTAAAGTCCTCGACGAACAGATCTAGCAGGTTGCGGTAAGGGGTATCGCCTGACTTGGTCGACTTCAAAGCGCGGTTGACCATAAAGTTGACGACGTAATTAGCGTTGTGAGTGGCGCCCTCAGTCAATGGAAGCGTCACGGCCTTGAGTTCCTCGAGGGCAAGCTCGTGTTGGGAGGCGCCTGACTCTTCGGACTTGACGGTAGCTACCACATTCGGTTTTCCAGCAAGAGGCATCTCCTCATCCTCGTCATCTTCGTCCATCATCGCCCGGCTGCGCGTGCCCTTTTCCTCCACCTTGCCAGAACTTGCTTGTACAAGACGCATGATGAGAGCTGATACAGGTTGAATACTGCTGCCATTCGACAGGCGAAACTGGCGAGCGCTCTGCTTTCCGACAGGCAGTTTCTCCAGTGAGGTCAGAATGTCGTCGAAAATGCCACGGCGCTGATCGGGTTTGGCGAGGAAGATCTGGCAAAGCATTTCCATCGCCACGAGGCGAATGCCATCGAACTTTTGTACTCCAACGACGGAATCCTTCTCCAAGTAGGCGTTGTCGACGAAAAGGAGGCTTGAGGCGGCGAACTCCAAGGTGCCGAGAGCCGTGTCGGAAAGCTCAATACATG